CAAACAAAAAATTTCCTAACAGCCTCTTTACAGCAGTGGCTAAAGGTCATGCTGCAAGGCTCAAAACAGGATAAACAAGTTGACTGTGTCTGCCCGGCATAGCATCCACCCACAGACAAGCTCATTTCGGGACTGGAGGAGCAGTCCTAAAAATCCTAATGGCCAGCCTAGATGTAGACCATGAGGTTTGAGTTTGGGTTAAGCACACAAGACAACCAATGCACCTAGAGAAGTCAGAACACTTTAGCTAAGAGGAACCCATCTGAAGCAGATTCCCTCTGCCTTCCTTAGCTATTATTTCTGAAGGTATACATAGGATTTTATATGAAACCTGGCATGTTGGCAGACACCAGAGACTCACTTTGCCCACCGGAGATCTCCAGAGCTAAAAGCATGTGTATTTTTCTAGTGTGTCCCTCGCCTTAGTATCTGTATGTCTTCTGGATCCCTCCCACTGTATGTCTCAGTTATTGAAGGTCTCCTATATTTGTTCACACAAGATGGCATCTCATTGTGAACATAAAGGTTCAGAGTACACAAGGATGGAGCTAGGCAGCAGCTGGTCTGACCGAGTAGTGATAGGAGATGGGTTTCTCAATAACAGTCCCTAATCCTACAGAGTGATGAGAGGATCGTGCAAGGTGCCAAGCTTCCTCCACCCCAGCTGAAGTCAGCTGCATTGTGGGGACTTAGAACCTTGCAGCATAGAACCCAAAGTTCTGTGGAATTGAATTATATTTAAGAGAAATGTTTATGCCATTGCCTTACCCATTGGCATCCATGGCAAATCTCCCAATGATACCATTGGGGGCAAGATTGTGCCCCCCCTCTTGTTTTTAACAGATTATAAGGGAGGTGGGTAAAGGACAAGAGACACTCCCATTGGCTCCTGCAGAACAGCGTAGTCTCAAGCACGGGAGTACCAGAAAAGGAATTACATTTAAAACCTCCAAGAAATAATGAGAAGGCATCATACATGTGACCTGTGTGCACAGGAGAACATTTCTTATCGCATTAAATAGCACAGGTCGGGCTGATCCCATAGCTCATCAGGAAGGCTTAGTGTTAGCTTCGGGAAGCTCTTTATATATGCCATTTAATTTAATATTGATTTTTTTTCCTAAACAAGTTTAATTATTTGTGAAGTATTAACACTGGAGGGTTCTTTCAGCACAACTACAGGATGGTACTGTACCAGGGAATCAACACCATGGGAACCACCCAGGTCAAACTACTAATGATGAAGAGTCGGGTCTTCCCCAGCACTTTACAACTGAAAAGGATTGCACAGACATTGATCAACCTCCCTTCCTCTCTGAATCAGGCAAGTACTATCCCAATTTTACAGATGGGGAAACTGAGGCAAAGAAGTGCAGCAACACATCCAAAGCTACCCAGTTAATCAGTGGCAGGGCCAGGTTTAAACAAAACAAGAGAACTTCCTGACTGCTAGTCCTTGTGCTCCATTCTCCATACTGAGCTACTTTACGGGGAATGTGTAGTGGGGTGGGAAGAGGCCTCAAAGTAATAGTAAAACAAAAACAAACCCCACAAACTTCACTTGTCTTTAAAGACTGACCCTGCCAAACTCTCATTGGCTTTGTTGGGAGGGAGCAGAGGCTGAGTAGAAAATGAGTAAGGACTCACTCTTATGCCTATTGTGCATCAATAAAACAGATTGTATCTGACCAGTAACTTGGCCAGTAGATACTATCATTACCTATTTGTATTATTGTAGTGCCTAGAAACCCAAGTCATGGCCCAGAGCCCCTATTGTGCTAGGTGCTGTGTAAAACACAGAGCAAAAACACAGCAGTGCCCCAAAATTGACAAATATACATATTAACTTCTGGAAACTGAGGGATTTGCCCATGTAATTGCCTGGGAGTAAGTACTGAGCTACAACACTCAGTTCCTTTTAAATTACAAATGATCTCTTAGTAAGCAAGACAAGAATAAGGATGTGTCATGATCATGAGGGTTAGCCAGCAGCCTGGGGACTAAGAGGTTAACTATGTCCTTTACCTAGACAGGTGGAATGGCCAATAGGAATGTAGGTAGGAATTTCAAACTGGAACAAAGGAATTTTTGTTTTTTCCCTCCTTTGTTCGGGGATTCCCCTCCAGCTTCTGAGGGAGACAGACATGTGTCTCTTTCTCCAAGAACCCATTCTTCACTTTCTGTAAGTAGGATAAAGTTTAGATAAATCCATTAGGTTTTATTATTTTATGGGTTGAGTATGGGATCTGATGTCTGTGCACTTTTAAACAATGTTTTGGCTTTTCTTTGTAACTAAGTTCTAGTCCCATGGAGCCTCTCGTTGGCTACGTCTATACTGGCATGATTTTCCGGAAATGCTTTTAAAGGAAAAGTTTTCCGTTAAAAGCATTTTTGGAACAGAGTGTCTAGATTGGCACGGACACTTTTCCGCAAAAGCACTTTTTGCGGAAAAGCGTCTGTGCCAATCTAGACGTGCTTTTCCGCAAAAAAGCCCCGATCACCATTTTCGCAATCGAGGCTTTTTTGCAGAAAACAAATCTGAGCTGTCTACACTGGCCCTTTTGTGCAAAAGTTTTGCACAAAAGGACTTTTGCCCGAACGGGAGCAGCATAGTATTTCTGCAAGAAGCACTGACAATCTTACATGAGATCGTCAGTGCTTTTGTGGAAATTCAAGCGGCCAGTGTAGACAGCTGGCAAGTTTTTCCGGAAAAGCGGCTGATTTTCCGGAAAAACTGGCCAGTCTATACACAGAGTGTATATGTTGTTACCTTTCAGTCTAGTCATTATGCTTGCAACAGGAAGATTGTGGTGATAATAAAAGCTTTCTCTTTTCTTTTTTATTAACTTGGTATTGGTTAATTGTGTGTCCTGGTTTTTACTTTAGGGGTGAGATTTCCCAAGTGATTTCTCCCCTGATTTCTTTATTATTACTTGGGTGGTGGCAGTGAAGGATTTTATTCCCAAAATCTAGGTTGTTAAGATTTTGGGGGGAAGTTTTATACCAAAGCCTGGTAGATAAGGTTTTGGGGTACTTTTGCTGGCCCCCACTTCTACATTTATCATGCCAGAGTGGGGAAGGAGCCAAGACAGGATGTAATAACAAACCCTCCTAGAAGTTCCAGGGGACATCTCATGTGTTGCAGAGCTCACTCTATAAAACATTTTTTCTTAGTTCAGGCTTAATTTCCCCACTCTTACTTTCACGTGCTAGTTATAATCTACTGTAACGGGTTAAATAAGTCTGACTCTTCCTAAGTGTTTACCTCCTTCCAAAAGTTTGTGACCAACTCGTTTTCATTCCTCCTGCCTTTAGTCTGGTAGTTCAGTGGAGAGACAAAACGTGAGAGGCGGTGTCACTTACAGACATTCTAGAAGGCAGATTTCTGCACAAAAGAGATTAATTTTATAGAGGGAGATTGTCATCAAACAGTTTGTAGAGTATGAAGCAGGTAAGTCTCATTTCTTAGTGTTTCAGTCTTAGTTGCTACTGTAGGAAAAATTCAATTTATAGCTAAAATACAAATATAGTTCCAGCTATCTGAGCTAAATTCACATTTATTAAAACTGATTTGGGAGATGATAAAATATTGGGCAAGAAAACTTGAAAGTTTTTAGCTGCAATACTGAAATCAAGTAATCAAAGACGTCAGATGATAATTAATACCTTGGATCTTGCAGACTTGTGTTGTGGTGGTCAATTATTTTTTGTCAAGGTCCAAATTTCATAGTCAGGATATAGCCAAAGTTGAGACTCCAGATAAAATAATAAAAAACCCCAATATTAATAATAATAAGTAAATAAGAAGACGTTGGAGTCTGTTCAAAAGAATTTGGAGGTCTGAATTTGGCCTACAGTCCACCTCTTGACTATTCCACATGTGTCCTTAAGTATATGCATATGAGTAGTCCCACGGACATCAGTGGTGCTGCACAGGTATGTATGTTGAGGAACAGGTTTCCAGAAACTTTTGTTGTAGTGCTGTATCTGTATTCATGCTTTGAATCCAGGTGCTTACAAAAGTCTCTATATTGTTTGAGATATTCAGTAACAGAAAATCTGCGCCGGATGCTTTTCAGTGAGTTAGTTGTCTGTATTATTTCTTTGTCTGAAATCATTTGATCCCTTTTTGGAGGGTGAAGGCAGGGAACAGCAATAAAGAACTCAAAAGAGGATTTACAGAGGAATGTGGGAGTAACTTTTTCTACTGAGTAATGATGGATGCACTGCTATTATTTTTTAGTGAGGAAGTGGGTTGACTGGAAATTGAAACACTTTCATTTAGTTTTTCATTACTCCTTTTTGTATGTAGCTAATTAACTGGAGGGTGGCCAGCTTTGCTGGGTCTTAAATATTTGAGAATTGAACACCAGAGGAGCAAAGCCCAGTTCTTTGGGAAACAGTCAGATTATCCCAGGTGATTTTGGATCATTTGGCAAGAACAGAGTTATCTAAACATTATATATTAATTTTAAGGCTCTTGTTTATTAATAACAGTGCCTTGAGCCTCACCGCACGAGGCATTGAACAGTGAAAGACTGACATATTCTGACATGCTCCCAATCTAAGTAGCCAAGACCAAGAAGAACTGATTTCCCAAAGGTCATGCAGCAGTGATAGAGTTGCGATTAGAAGCCAGGTCTCTTTGGCTGTGTCTACACTGGCCGCTTGAATTTCTGGAAAAGCACTGACGATCTCATGTAAAATCATCAGTGCTTTTCCGGAAAAACTATGCTGCTCCTGTTTGTGCAAAAGTCTTTTTCTGAAAGACTTTTGCCCGAAAGGGCCAGTGTAGACAGCATAGTTCTGTTTTCCGCAAAAAAAGCCCCGATCGTGAAAATGGCGATTGGGGCTTTTTTGCGGAAAAGCACATCTAGATTGGCCACGGACGCTTTTCCGCAAAAAGTGTTTTTCCGGAAAAGCATCCTGCCAATCTAGACGCGCTTTTTCCAAAAATACTTTTAATGGAAACCTTGTTGACCTACGAGTGTAAGCGTATGTCTACACTAGCCCCTTAGTTCAAACTAGGGAGGCTAATGTAGGCATTCAAACTTGTAAATGAAGCCCAGGATTTAAATATCCCGGGCTTTATTTGCATGTTCCCGTCCGGTCGCCATTTTGAAATTCCACTAGGCCGAAGTAACTGCCTGCGGCTATACGCGGCAGGAGTAACAGTTAATTCAAACTAAGGACTTAGTTCAAATTACGGTTTGACTGCCGCGTGTAGCCGTGGGAAGTTACTTCGGGCCAGTGGAATTTCAAAATGGCAACCAGATGGGAACATGCAAATAACGCCTGGGATATTTAAATCCCAGGCTTCATTTGCAATTTCAAATGCCTACGTTAGCCTCCCTAGTTCGAACTAAGGGGCTAGTGTAGACATACGCTTACACTCGTAGGTCAACAGCTTGTTGGAGTAGGGTATGTTGGGACTTCTAAATGTGTGCATCAAGAAAAAATGTGCAAAGACAGGCAAATTCACAAACCCTATGCTCAGTAAAGCATAGGGATTGCAGTCTTGGTGCACTTCTCATGGATGGGGTAGATAATACTTAGTCCTGCAAGTTCCTATCATAAGTCAAGGTTATTTCCCAGGAAAAAGGAATTTGAACCCTGGTTAAAACATACCATTGAAATGCAGTAGTGGGCCACACCAGACACAGAAAAAAGAAGATATCTAGTAGAGAGCTTCAGGGGCCCAGCATTAGAGGTCATTTGTCCCCTGAACCTCACTAATCCTGAGGTCAATTTGAAGGATTGCCTAGAGGCCCTCACATATTTGAGAGCATAGAGGGTCCTGAAGACAGTTACTCTAAATTCCTTAGTTCCTAACAGCACAGGGGTGAGAAGGTTTCAGTCTATATACAGAGGCTGGAGATACTGCTTCTGAGAGCTGGCATGAGAGAGCAGTGACTGCTGAGCAAACAGATCAGACCAGACTGGCTCAAATTATAAGAGGAACTCAATATCAAAACCTCACCCTACTTCATCTTGGGCTAAGAGTACAATAAGAACGTTCCCCAAGCCACTCCCAGGATACGTCTGGACTACAGGCTTTTGTCGACAGAGACTTTGTCGACAGATACTGTCGACAAAGCCTCTGTCGAAAAAGAGCATCTATAATGCAGCCAGTTCTGTCGACAAAGCAAACCGCTTTTTCGACAGAGAATCTAGACTCTCTCTTTTGAAAAAGCACAGTGTAAATGCAATAGCGCCTTTTTTCGACATAACTCTGTTGAAAAAAGGCGATATTCCTGTCGACAGAACTTGGCGGTAGTGTAGATGTTGTGAAGCCAAGCAAACGATAGCAGACCTCTTTGAGCCTGAACCAATTGCAAGACCCCAGTGTGACAGTCAAGTTCTGACAATAGATCCAGCAAATTTTGACTGTGGAGATTCCACATTGTCTGAGGAGTAGAAGGATCACCCGAGGAAGAAACTTTGTGAAAGATCCAAGCTATTCACAGAGCATAAGTGGGATTTGGGATGTGCAAAAGGGGTTGGACACAACATCAGACTACACACCTCTCAATCTTTCAGGAAGAGCTAGAAAGATTTCATTCTCAGAGATGGAAGACATGCAACATCATTTTCAGTAGTTGGCTGTGAATGGCATCATTCCAGAGTCCTGCAGCTCATATGCTTCACCCATTGTGACTTCTGCACCCTAGCAGCCACACTGTGGTTGACTGGCACACTATGCTTCAAGTACCAGATGCCTAAGACTGTTGGGAGCCAGTGGTTGTTAGTTTTGGATCTTTGAAGTGGATACTACCAGATCCATTTGGGACCAGAAGATAAGAAGGGAGCCTTCATCTGCCCACGCATCAGTTTTCAACGCATGCCTCAAGGATTTCTGTGGCACCTGCCACATTCCAACATCTTGTGGAGAAAGCTGTGGGAGACATGAACTTACTTGCAAGTCTTGGTTTATTTGGATGACTTGAGTATACAGGCAGTCCCCGAGTTACGCGGATCCGACTTATGTCGGATCCGCAGTTATGAACAGGGCTTTTCTCGCCCTGGAGGACTGGAGCGGCGGGACGCCCAGATGCGCTGCAGTTCCGCCGCCCCCGTCCTCCGGGGCGAGAAAAGCTGCTCCACTTCTCCCTGGTCTGCTGGGGGGGAAGCCCCCCCCAGCAGACCAGGGAGACGCGGAGCAAAGCCGCGGAGCACGCCCGC